AGGGGAGGGAGAAGAGAGAGAGAGAGAGAAAGAGAAGGTGGGGCCGAATGACAGATGGGGGACATCAAGAAAATGGGAGTGGGGAGGGGAAGGGGTGGGTGGGTTCGAGTCGGGGAGAGGGGGAAGTTTGACCAATTTCATTGAACTGTTTAATGTTGAATTTTGTCTTAATTATTAAATAAATTTATTAGATTGTGTTTAGTTAAAATTCAGTCTTTGAAACTCTTTTTGTTTCTTTGTTAAACGATAAATTTTGTTAGATTAGGTGTTAGATTAACTATTGACAAGATTTGAACTCATGTCATCCCGCAAACACTCAATACAAAGATTAGGTGTTAGATTTGTTACTGACGGAGTTTGAACTCATGTTGTCACGCAAAAACTCCATACATTTTATCACTGTAAATAAAGTACGTTCACTCACTGTTTCTCATGATTTTTTTGTCTTTCTAACTCTGGTCTAAATAGTATGAATTTGCCACATATGCGTATAAACTATACACTTAGTTTCTTAGTAAACTTAAGATATAGAAAATAGAAAAGTAATTCTATGTATTATCCACTATTTGCCTTTAAAATATAAAAAGTAATTTGAGTGTATCACAAACAACATGATGTAATGTTACAGTTTTACATTTTAAGAGATGAGTGGACTATATCGTTAATTTGTCCTTATATTAATAAATCATAAATGTACTCGCTTTAGTGGAATAAAATAATAACACTAGTCGGTATTTTGTAGTTGTTACTGTTAAATTAATTATGGTCGTTGATTTTAAAAGAAAATTTAAATTAAACTCACTGGATTTTTCCGTGTGGTATCAGAAGAATTTTCAAATGGCTAATGAGCCTAGAATAACGAGCCATTTGGCTCACTGGTGGGCACATGGGGGCCAGAAACCTTTTATTGTGTGACGTCATCGCTGACGTCAGCCACTGCCAAGGCCCGGCACTTTTTTTTTTAGCAGTCCAACGAGCTACCGTCAGAAATCCAATTGACTCTTTCATTTGTCACCCCCTTATTTAAAAACACGTAATATACCATTTATGTTCGATCATAATGAAAAATTCTTCATTTAACTCAGTTGCTTGGAGGTCTGGTAGACCTGCTCTAACTAGAAAATAATTTGTTTGGTATGAAGTTGTAAATAGTTGATAAAGACACGGACAACTTTATTTTATCCATCTAGTTTCTTTATTGAAAAAAATGACCAGCTAGTAGCTTTATCATGACAGTTTATTATTTAAATTACAGAAGTATTTCAGCTTCCCCATGACCATTACTCTGGGATTCACCAACATCGAAAATCGAACAAAAGACGTGCCGTGTAAAATACGGGCCTGAAATTCGTCCCCAGTTACTAGGCTATCTCGTGATGGTTATTGTATCCATGTAGTTCTATTCATTTTAATTCTTCTCAATTTGTAGCTAATTCTATGCCCCATAAGTTCAATGGTTGCCTATGTTGTTTCTTATTCCCAGAAGATTGTTGAATATTCGATAAATTATCATAATATTTAATCTATTTCAGGAGATGAAGAAAAAAGCCTCGACTTCCTTCCTGGATTTTCAAAAGTTAAAATACCTGACCTACCTGAAGGAATCTTAGGAAACTCAGAATCAACCGTTGGAAGCCTATTATACAAAATGGGACAAACACTTCCAAAAGCAACTGCAGTTGCCATAAACTCCTTTGAAGAACTGGAACCTGAAGTTGTGAATTTACTCAAATCAAGATTCCAGAAGTTCCTCAACGTTGGACCCTTTAGTTTAATAACATCGTCCCCGACGCCGCCGTTGATCAAAGATGACAGTGGCTGCTTAGAGTGGCTGGACAAGCACAAGCCTACATCTGTTGCATATATTAGCTTTGGAAGTGTGGTTGCACCACCACCTCATGAGCTGGCAGCATTTGCTCAGGTGTTAATTGAAACTGGGTTTCCATTTATTTGGTCATTTAGGGGCAACATAGAGGATGTATTGCCCAAGGGGTTTAACAAAAGTGGCTTGAATGGAAAAATAGTTCCCTGGGCACCACAAGTGCAAGTCTTGGGGCATGCCTCAACTGGAGTTTTCTTAACGCATTGCGGGTGGAATTCAATCTTGGAGAGCATTGTTGGCGGTGTGCCGATGATTTGCAGGCCATTTTTTGGGGATCAAAAGCTTAACATGAACACTATAGAGGCTGTGTGGGAAATTGGTGTGGGGATTGAAGGAGGGGTCATTACAAAAAATGGAGTGATAAAGGCCTTGGAGCTGACTTTGAAGCATAAAGAAGGGAATGAAATGAGAGAGAAAATCAAGGTCCTAAAAAATCTTGCTCAACAAGCTGTTGCAAGTAATGGTAGCTCTCCACAAGCATTCAGTACCTTGGTGGAGATTGTCACAAAATAATGTAAAAGTTTGTTAAAAAGCTTGGGGAGCAACTGTAATATTTGATTCAAGGGAACTTTAACGAAAAGCGCCCGGTACTGTTCACTTTAACGAAAAATCACATTTTTACACTAAAAAGTCAATCCTGGTACTATTCACTTTACCCTTTATTTTGTCCTTATCATTAAAACTCAAAGTTTTCAAGCCATTTTCAATAGCTACGGATTTTGGGGAGAGACCCAGTGGTTTTCTTTCTCTATATTGATATGAGCTACATTGTGATAATGGTGATTAGCTTGTGGGGTGTATTTGAGAATTTCAGAAAATTTAATGGATTTATAAATTTATGAAATTTTTTTGGAGTTTAATTGATTATTAGAAATTTCATATAAAATTTTGATTCAATTCTCTCGAAATTTTATGATGAGATGTGAGATTTGTGGATGCTTTAAATACACTACGAAATCTCTCAAATTTCCTCTAATTCCTCAACTATCTCAAATTCTTTAAAATCAATTTCTAATTAAATACACCTGGAATATTATAAATTTTTTTTTAAATTTTAATTGAATATACCCGGATTTCTAAGAATTTTAATAAACTATCTTAAAATTCTAATTGAATACACCTTGAATTTCAGAGAATCACTTAAAATCCAGATTGAATACCCTTAGAGTCATTAAAAGAATTAAAATCCCTCCAAATTCCAATTGAATACACCCCTGTAATCACTGTTAAGGGTTAACTGAGAATTAGTTGTTTTGTTAAGTTTTCTAAATGGCATGAGTGATTAGTTGGTTAAGCTGTTTGGATTGCCACCAGGCACACGATGTATGCATGAGTACCTGGATGGCTAGAGATTTGTTGTCGCCTAATTTGTGTGTTCCTTCTACATCTCTTTCTAATTTTTTGACATGTGTCATTTAACTTAATACTCCATTTAGCAACATCAATCTTTTTTAATATGTATTTAAAAATAAAAACTTAATATTTAACTTAACTCTCAATCAACAATGCTACCTTTCTTAATATGTGAAAACAAAAAATTAATAGGGAAACAAGTTTACATGGTTCGCTAAATCAGCCTACGTGCACGGTAGAGTGGATTAATCTTATTGATCATAATTTGAGAGTGAACATATTATGAAATCCATAACCAAAAAGAATAAATGCCTATAACAATACGTATATGTTCCACAAAAAGTCCCTTAAGAACCCAACACAACTAACACCACCTAGCCACCTTAGAAATCAATGTAACTATCACAGAATATAATTATTTCAATACTCCCTCAAGTTGATGTAAGAAGGTTGAAGGATTCAGCATAAAGAGAAGGCTTTGAAGTCGAGTTTTAGATGGGCCTTGGTTAAGATGTCAGCCAGCTCGCCGCTTCTAACAAAACATCATTTAGATTATATTGGCTTGAAGGTTTTCTCAAAAGAAATGACAATCAACTTCAATTTGTTTGGTTCTTTCATAAAGAGAAGTTATGGGCTGCTGCTGTCAGCTCGGTGCAAAGGTTGCTGGTTAAAGCGTTTGGGTGCCCGACTTAGGTCGCTGAGTTGGGCTTATGTGGGAGAGATGAAGGGAGGCTCGAACCTCCTTCATTGGTTGGGCTTGCGAGCCACCGGGCTAGCTCGTGCGAGAGATGAGAGAAAGGCACGGGGGCGTCAACCCCCTCATTTTAGACTGGATCGTAAGGCCTTTTGGGTTGAGAGAGAGTGGCAAAGACTTTTTTTAGGCTGAGATGGTTGGCTAAAGGAGAAATAAATGGACCTGGCTATGGGGCCTAGCATGGCTGCTGGGCTTTTACGGTCTAGAGCCTATGGCTAGTCGGTGATGGCTAGGTCTGTGGGGTACCAGCTGGGCTTCGGCCTGGCGTGCTGCTCTATGCAATTTTATTTTATTTTTTTTGTGAAACCATCTAACAATTCTTTCTTGCGTCTTTGTAGGATTTATTCGAGCATGTCTTCTTCAGGTCACAAGAGTGATGATGGTGTTCCACCGTTGTATAGTCAAGGCGAGTCTTTGAGTAAAGTGGGCTACTTCAAGGCTGCTCACGTCAAAATTAATTCTGATGACTCATTCAGAGACTTCCTCGAAGCATACAAGCATGCCATTCCGTCTGGGGTCTGCGTGAAACATGTTAGGGAAATGAGCATCTGTGAGTCAATTAGTGGTGCTCGAAGAGCTATCAAGTTTCACCTTTACTACTTCATGTTAGGATTCACTTTTCCCATGCCATGTTTCTTCCAAGAAGTGTTGTGCTCCATGAAGTATGCCGTCCCCGCTCAGTATTCTTCAAATGCGGTTTGCGTGATTGTGGGATTCATCAATCTGAGCCAATGCTTTGACTTGGATCTAACTATCAATGGATTATGGTACTTCTTGATAGAGTTGGGTAGCTACGATCTTACCATAGGCTCTTTGACCATTCGAGCAAGGGTGATCATGAATGGACAAAGAGACTTTGAAGATAAGTGGAGAGTGGGAGTTTGATTCTTCCCAATAGCTACGTATTCCGATGATTTTCATCACTGGTAAGTAAACTGCTTAGTCTTTAAGCTGTTTTGTGCTATTGTTGAGCTACTATCTGATTTACTGATTGTCCTCCTCTATCTATGCAGAATTGGAATTTGGCTCAACTTTGAAGACTTCTCCAGACATGAAAAAAGTGCACATTGCTTTAGGAATCCTTGTTGAGTGTTGTGAATGGCGTTGGCTGCTTAGTCCTCTTTGCCACGAGAAAGGTGGGCTACCCCAAGAAAGGAGATAAAGCAAATCAAGGTAGAGGCATTGGTTTGGCCAATCACTATCAATGGAGCACATTGCGAATGAAGGTGCTAAAAATAGACCATTTCCACCTACAAGAAATGCTGGTTGAGAAAAAACCTAGGACTTCCTTTGTTGCCTATGAAGATCTGCCTGATGTCAAAAAGCTTGCGATTAACTTTTTCCAAGGGGAAAAAAATATGAGGCTGCTAGATCCGAGCCTATGACGCCTGCCATGTTAAAGATGGCTAGTACAATTGCTGATAGGATTGCTTAGCGTAGAGGTTCTGTTGTGCCACCAATGCTAAAGTCTATATTAAGACGTTTGTTGGGAGCTAAGTCTGGTTCACCTAAAGAGAAGCTTACTATTATGAAGAGTAGTAAGGTGGACTCTGCTGCTAAAGTGGCGTCTAGCTTATTCCTCTTGTTGCTGAGGTTGATTCGCATACTGAGAAAGATGAGTCTGCTCACGTGGGCAATGGTGAGAAATCCACCAAGCTTGAAAACAGGGACGCGTGTGCCAAATTTGTTGATGACATTAATGGGGTTCTTTGCCCAAGTTCCTTTTGCAAAGCATACAACCCAATATAGAAGGACTACTCTGCTTGCTATGATGTAGAAAACAACGATTCTAGCAATAGAGTCTATGCACATTGACCAAGAGGATACCAAGGCTGCCAACGAGGTGGCAAAAGCTATAGCAGCTTAGGCTTCTTCTTCTGTTGAGAAGATAAAAAGTTAGAGTCTGAGTTTTCCTTTGAAGGGATCAGATATCTCTGCCCCCACTTCTTTGTAGCTTGAGACCACTCATCAAGAGATTGATGACTTGAAGGCTAGGCTTGATGCGATCCAATTTAAATGTAAAAGTGCAGAGAAGGAGATTGGTCATTACATACCTCAGATTCAAGATCTAGAGTGTGTCGTTTCGGGGCTTCATTCTGCTGCCTACGCAAAGGATGAAGAGTTGATGATGAAGAGTTGATTAATGCTTATAATCAAGTAATCCACTTCCAAAAGATCGCTAATAAGCTTGAGCCCCAATTGTTGGAACTCTAAGGTGTGTTGAAGATCAATGAAAGTCTAAAGAGGGAAGTGGGTGAGTTGTAATGCGTCTGTGTTGGTCTGCTCAAGGAGAACGAGTAGTTGAAGGGTGAAAAGGTTGGGTTTAAGGCTTCGCTTGATTTCTACAAGTTGGGCTATGTAGATCATCTCTTCAGTAGGCCGTCTGACTTTGAGTTTGTTGGGAAATACTTCGAGACCTTTTCTATTTCTCTAGAAGACTTTCTTGCCTTTACTTTCAAGTCTTCCATTAGTGCAGTAGTTCGAGAAGTCGATGCCCAGGTGGGGCAGCCGAGGGTGAAGCACAGAATAATGCCCTTGTTGAGAGTATGGCAGCTACTAAAGGTGTGGCAATCAAGTAGTGATGGGATGTCCAAGCTGCTAAAGAGTAGTCTTCTAGGTAGCCTTCAGGAGTTTTTTCTTTCTTTTGCTTGAACTCCATTGGCATTTGTTCTTTGTTTATCAATTTTGCTAGAAAATTTAAAAAACTTGTTTCCTTCACTTTTCTTTATCTTCGCTTCTTTTGTTTGCACTTAACTTTTGACTCTTAGACTAGCGACATACGCGTTTCTTTTCTATAAACAGACAGGTTGGCGCATCCGATATAGTTGCGGGTTTTGGTGCAGAACCTTTGCAAAGCTGTTAGCCATAGGGTTGGCAGCCACATGTCTTACTTACAAAAGCAGACAGTTTCACTGACCACTTGGTTGTTAGCTTTGACTTTCTCCAATCCTTTGAGCTATGTGGCTTACATCACCACATACTAAATATTCTTGGGTGTTAAGCCTCCTTTAGTCGGGGACCGATCCCTACTCTTGGCCTTCAGCCTACTCATACTGTTTTCCATCCTCATTTCTTTTTTAGGCTACTCATGCCTTGTCTGCTCGCCGAGCCTTGTCCTAAAGTGCATGTTTCTCTGCCAGAGCGAATGAGTTTGCCAGAGTTAGATATTCTCCCATAATCAATTCTCCAAAAGCGGGTGGTTTGCTAGGAAAGCTGCACTAGCTATCAAGTTGTTGCATCCGACTATCTTTGCATTCTCTACTTTGAATCTTTCACATAGCTATCAAGCAGTCAAACTTCTTTTTGATCGAGCGATAAGATGAATATTCTTTCGTGAAAACAAAAACAAAAAAAACTCATCGAAACTCCAGATGGATTGTGGCGGCAGAGTGTGGAACCAATCTTGCTTTTGGCCTTGCAAAGTAATGGCGAATATCTTGCACAAGAGGGTGTCATTATTCCGGTAAAGGTCATTCCGTTGTGGTAGTGCTTTAGGTGCCTTGACAGGTCTCTATCTTCCTTGAAAAGGTGAAATGTGGCGTGTTGAATTTTTATGAAGGCTCTGTTTGCTCAATCTCATACGAAAAAAGGTGACCTATTTATGTTGTTCATGTTTAGTCAGAGTGCCTCGTCAATAACTTCATTGCGCTGGAAATCACTCAATTGTTTAGTTAGAAGCCTCTCTACTTGTTCCTAAATTTACCTTTGTTGGGGTAAC